CGGTATGGGGGTGAGGAGGATAAGGGAAGGTGCGACCCTGTGCGGGAGGTGATGGCGAGCCGCGGGTGGTTGAAATGAGAGTGTTCAGTATAGGAAGAGGTGAGGTCCGCGGTCAAAAAGGAGTGGCCGATATATGATGTAGCTGACCTAGATTTTGAGGTGAACGCGGGGGGAGGTGGGGGACCAGAGGAGTCGCGGAACAGAGTATAGGGGAGGCGGTCAGGCACAGTATGAGGTGAGCGCGGATGGGCCCGAGGTGTGGACCCGTAGACCTAGCTTAGATGAGTTCGTGAGCGGCAGTGCGGGCCTTGAGGTGGGGACTAGACATGAGGCAAGGAGTGTGCGGGGGTGGGAGTAGGTGTGAGGCCTGTGCATCGTGAGCTTGCGTCCAGCTCAGAGGTGGATTCAACAACCCCAACATGAGGCTGAGTGAATGCGCGAGTGGGGGATTGAAGAAGAGATTGCCGTGGATGGCAGAGCAGTAAAAGGTGTGAAAGGTGTAGGGGTGGTGGACAGACGGGACCAATAAGCTGTAGGCGCAAAGACCGGCGGTAGATCGAGATAACATGATCGTTGGTGAGAAGCGTATAGGGACAGTGTATCACAAAGGGTCAGGGCGCCGAGCGGCTTGTACATGGTTGCGGGCTGTTGGCAGGGGGGAAGGAGGGGAGCGAGAGGAGCAGGTGATGCCGTCAGGAAAAGCCAGAATGCGAAGAACTGGAGGACAAAGCGTGGCGAAGGTCTTTCGTCCTGTGGGGGTCCCAGGGAAGTGGGGTGAGAAGTGACAGTTAAAAACATCGGGGCCATGGAGCCGTGGGGTGCTGCCAGAGCGAACAATGCGGGGTAACGTGCCAAGCGGGGGAAGGGGGGAGAACCGTCCAACCAGGTCCAGGGGAGGAAGGTGGGGAAAGGATCCCGTGGTCCAACCAGGCGGAGCCTGGCCGTGCTGCGTCAGGAAAAAGCGGGGGAAGGAAGGGCAAAGATGGCTGAAAAGAGAGGTTTCCGGCATGCGAACCTAGGGACCAGTAGTCATCGCTGGATGCTTGGGGAAGGTCCGAGTAAAGAGGTGCCGGAGCTGGTGTGACGAGGGTGAGAAGTGGGTGGGTTAGCGTCGCCTCTGAAGTGGAGCCACGTTGCGCCGTAGATGCTGGGGAGACCAGAATGAAGCGTGTCGGGGAAAGAGAAGGGCTGCAGAGTTGTCCTGTGTATGAGCGTTGTGTAGCCAACTGGGATCATAAGCCTAGGTCGGATAGGTGTAAGAAGACGTTGCGGGGACGCCGTGCAAGGGGAATAACGCGCCGGGGCGGTGGAAGTAGAAGTTGGCCAAAGGGGTTCGGGGTGCGTAGCGCGGGAATGCGTATCGACCACCTGCAGTTGTGCAGTGCTGCTAAGAGCGTCACGGTGAGGCCAGGGAGAGTCGGAGGAACGTGTAAGAAAAGGGGGGATGTGGGAAGCCCCTAAGCTGCAGGGGACTGTGGAACGGGGCCTGAAACTGTCGGGCGGCGTTGGGGGAGAGCGTGTGCGAACCAGAATGGGGGCAGGATGCCGAAGAATAACCAGTGGGAAGAGGGAGCCACCTAAGGCGTCGGGCAAAACGGAAGGCGCCAGGGCCAGAGTGTGCAAACAGCACGATCGAGCGTGGCCGCCTGGGGAGAGAATGCCAGAAGGAGTGCCGCGATCACCAGAGGGGACGGGGAGCCAGAGGACACAGATCAATTGAGGCGCCGCCGAGCGCAGGCAAGCGAGAAAACCCTGCCACAACGGGGAACGAGAAAGTGTGAGGCGGGGGGGAGGGGTCCGTCCGAGAGTAGGGGAGGGGAGTTGAAAGTGTCGCCCGCGGCAGAACCACCGCTCACCGGGAAAAATTGCAAGGGCATTCAGGCATGACAGAAGTCAGCAACAACGCGGTGCCGAAGAGGGAGGGCTGGGACGACCAGACACAACAAAAACACGAGTACCAAGTGTGGGGATGGGGCAGGCCCGGGAGACAATATGGAACAGGAACTGGGGACGTGGGATGCAGGAGATGCAACTGTTGATAGTGTGTGCGGCAAAATAACCCCAGATGCGTCCCCAGAAAAGCCCACAGCTTCAACTCGTCAACCATGCATCCGTGCCAAAAGTCAAAAGCAAAACAATAGGGCATGGGCTGGATGGTCGAGAAACGGTGGATGCAGCGCCCGCCGCCGCCGGGCAAGCCCGAAATAAAGAAGCATAGTAAAAGAAAAGCGGCAAGAGAGAGGCGAGTTGGAGCAAAAGGGAGCAGCAGCATAAACGAGATGTGGCGTGAGCGTCAGCACCGTCAGCTGGCCAGAAACATCGTGACGGTGTGTAGTCGCAAGCAAAGGAAGGCAAGGCCTGCGCTCGGGGGCTTACGTAGGAGGTGTTTTGAGAACCAAGAAACGGGAGAGGATGACGAGCCATGGATCAAGCGCCGGGGCGGGACGTATGTGGATGGGAGGACTAGCCTGGCCGTGTGAGCAGAACCGCGAACGAGGAGGGTGGCTGTGCCTGCGTCAGCGCCCATCGCGTGGTGAGTTGAGGAGGGAACGCGCACTCCTGGGGCCCGGGAGGAGGACCGGGAGACGGGCCCAAGGTGCCGAGTGAGCAGTGGGGGGTAGACGAACCAGCGTGAAGGGTGAGTCCGGAACGCCATAGAACATGGCACAGGGTCGTGGAGGTGGTCGTCACGGTGAAAGACGGGGCGAGCCGGAAAGCGGCACCGGGGGAGGTCGGGCCCATTCCTGTGGCCAGGGGGAGGAGGTCCCAGAGACCCGCGGACGAGGAGAGGCGTCCGTCCCCCAACCGCAAGGGCGCGTGGGAGGAGGGTGACAGGCTCGCTGCCGTGGTGGGGGTGGTGCGTGCCCCGGATATGGAGGAGCATGATGAGGCCGGCGGATGGTTCGAGGAGCAGTGGAGGGAGACAACTACATGGCTGCACAGGGTAGCGGAACGCCAAAGTGAGGAGCAGAAAGGCGTGCTGCGTGGTCGCGGGCAGGACTGGTGTGGCGAGACCGACTGTGAAGCCGACAGCTGGGGCTGTCGTGCCCACGGCCGGCTTTCGAGCGGAGTCAGCGGGCCAAATGTCTGCGAGCAAACAGTGGAGTGGAATATGGGTGCTGGGTGGGGAGGAGCGCATGGCACCGCCAGACGTGGGGTGTGGTCGCAACGCGGGTCGGCCTGTGGGCTCCGGTGGGGCTGGTGTGCGGGCGGGCGCGGTGTTAGCAGCCAGGAACCACCGCGCGGCATGCGGTGGACGCGACGGGCCTGAGGTGTGCCAGTTAAAGAAAGCGGCGTAAGGGCAACGTCGCTCCGCGGGCCGGGGTCAGGGGCAAGGTCCAGCTTAGAGTGGGAGGGCCGGGCAGGGAGGGCGGGTGGGGAATCGTTTGACCACAGTGTGCCGGGGAGTGGAACCATAGAGGTCCACAGTGGAAGCTACACCAGAGGGAGGCCGGCGGATCTCACCGGAGTAAGCGTGGCGCGTGCAAGTCTCATAGGGGTGCGAACAGGAGGCCGGTAGTGAGATCGGGTCGAACCCAAATTCTGAGCGAAGGTGGCCCCGTAGAAGCCAAGCGTGGGCGTGGGGGTCAAGGTTGGAGAGAACAGCCAGCCGGGGCGTCGAGTGTCGTGTAGAGGACAGCGGCGAAGGAAGGCGATGGTGGGAGAGTCTGGGAAGTCTGAGCCAAGCGAAAAGTGGTCTCGTGTTGTGGGGTGCGTGGGGGTAAAGGTGCGGAACCCGGCGTGCGGACGGCGGAGGGAGGGTGCCAGGAGCACCCAGGGACCTGGCAAGACCGTTGCAGAGGTCGGAGTCTGTGTGCGGGGAGGCAAAACGAGCGAAGAAGGTATGTCGTAGGCCGAGAGCAAGGGGTGCAAAATGGGCGCCGCAGGCCTTCTGTATAGGGCGGGGCAGGCTGCGCCCAGTAAGGCGGATGGTGAGAGCCACGGAAGGGGCGCCGAGACGTCGAAGGAGCAAAGTGCGGTCGCCCCAGGGACGGTCGTGAGGCGGGCGTTTTCGCGCGGGCGAAAGCCGGAGTGTCGGGCGGCAGGCGTGGCAGGCGCAGGGTCGTCAGGCTGTGGCCTGTCAGCTGAGCGTCCGGAGGCGGTCGGCCAGCGCGAAGATCAGTGCGGCGCGGGAAACTGTGGAAATTTGCCAGTCTGGGCCGGGGGTAGCGTGCGAACCGGGGGGGAAGTTGGTGGGCCGGGCGGAAACGGTGGGGCACCGGTGTGGCGCTGGCAGGTCTGCCTGGAACGACAGCGGCAACGTGTCGCCAGGCGTAACAGGTGAGGGGAGTGGTGCAGCGCGGGGGCGATGCGGAACTGACGGCGGGCAAGGAGGGCGGGAAGAGCGAGCGCCCGGGGGGGGCCTAGGGGCGGCAGCTCAGGGCGTCGCGTAGGCACAGAGGCAGAGGCTGTGGGTGGGAAGAATAAGTAAAGATAAATCGGCGGTGAAGGAGGTGTCTGGGAAAAGTGAAACGTAGAGAAAGCGAAAATGCGAGGGTTTGGCCAGTCGCGGGAATAGGAGCGGGCAGAGGTGGCCGGGAGCGTCCTCCGGCGGCAGTCAGTGGAGAGTCAGACGCTACGGGCGAAGGCGTGTCGGGGGTAGGAAGAAAGAGGAGACTAACAGGAACGGCGGTAGGAAACGAGGAACCGGCCGCGGGGCGCAGAAGCGGGTAGGATGCTCCCGAATGATGCCCCAAGCCAGAGTGTGGGGGTGAGTGGTCGCGGGAGGGAAACCGGCAGAATGGACAATGTAATGGGGTGGGTCGACTCACGTGCGTCGCCCGAAGACGTGGATGTGGTGCCGGGCGATGAAAACCGGGAGGGAGGACTGGTGGGCGTGAGTAAGCCATGACAGGCCATTCAACAGTAAGCAGGCGAGGTCAGGGAAGCGGAACGAATGCAGTCCGGAGTGGGCAGAACAGGGAAGGGCAACGAAGGGAACGCAAGCGCCGACGGCACCACAGACACCCAAGAATACAAGCAGAGGAGAAGAGAGTTGGATGGAGGGAAAAGACGGACAGGCGCCCACGGGGGGCAAGGACGGGCACAACCGGCAGGAAAGAACAAAAGACAAGAACCAGAGGAAGACGGCAGCGACGAAGCAAGGGAGGAGGAGCGACGAGGAGCACAGGCAGGGAAAGGCGCGAACGGAGGGGCGGGAGGAACAAACCCGACGGGGAGGCGGAGGCCCGGAAGGGAGGGGCGCAAAAGAGAGGAGGGGCACAACGGAAGGAAGAAACCAGCCAAAGGCACGGGAGGAGCGCCAAAAGCGGAGAAGCAGGCCGGAAGGAGAGAGCGCGGAAGGGGAGCAGAAGGCGAACGAGAGGCGAGGACGGGGGGAGAAGGGAACAGAAACACGACCGCGAACGGCGAAGAGCGGGGAGGGGACACGGCGGGCACGCCCACGCAGGAAGAGAGCCCAAAAGAGAGGCAAGGCACAGAAACAGGCCAAGAACAGAAAACCAGAAGGCGAAGGCAAGAAGGGGGAAGCGGAAACAGACACCAACGGCCCAAAGAAGCGCAAGGGCCACCGCGAAAGGAAGGGAACAGGACGAGGGCGGAGAGGGCGGACAAAAGGGGGGGAGCCGGACAAACCAAAAAGGGCCCAGGAGCAAGGGGAAGAAACGAAAGACGCGAGGAAGGCGCGAAAGAAGGGAGGAAGGGGCAGGGCACCACAAGGGAAAGGGGTGCGGGCGAAGAAAGGCAGGAAGAGGGGACAACAGGGGCAGAAAGAGGGGGGACAACCAAACGGGCAAGGAAAGGAACGGAGGAAGGAGAAGAACAAAAGACGAAAGGAAGACGGGGGGAAACGGGGGACGGAGGGCGAGACGCACAAGCCAAGGGGGAAGGGAGGAAAACAAGGAAAGCCAGCAGCGGGAGGGGAGGAGCGGAAGGAGCGGGCGAAAGGAGCACGCCCACGGAGGAAGAGAGGCGGGAGCCAAAGGAAGGAGAGAACACGCAGAAGGGAGGGGACCAACGAAAGAAGGAAGAGAGAAGGCCCCACCAGGAGGGGGGCAGACGAAAGAAGCAAGAGGGGGGGCCAAGGAGAGGCCAACGAAAGGAAGAAGGAAGGAGGACAGGAGGCGCCACCAGAGGGGGACAGACGAAAAGAAGAAAAGACGCCGGCCAAAACCAAGGGGGAAGGCGGCGCAGAAGAGAGAGGGAGGAGGGGAAGCCAAAAGAAGGAGAGCAGACCACGCAACGGACGAGAGGGAGGCCAAAGAACCAAGGAAGCGGCGGGAAAAAGAAGGAAGAAAAGGGGGAGCGAAAGGGGGGAAGGGACGAAAGACAGGGGGGCCAAGGCAAACCAGAAACGGAGAAGGAGAAGGGAACGAAAGGGAGAAAGGCGAAGAAAGGGAGAGAAAGGGAGGAGCGAAGGGGGGAGGAAGGGAGGGACAGAAAACGGGCCGGGGGGCGAAAGGGGAAGGCGAGGAAAGGCAAGGAAACACGGAGGAGAGGAGGGGAGCGCAAGGACGAAAGAGGCCAGAAGAAGCGAGGGACAGAAAACGGGCCGGGGGCGAAAGGGCGACGCAAGAAGAGCCAACGGAAAGGGGAGGAGGAAACAAGGAGCAAAGGGAGGGAAGAAGCAAGGGACAGAAAACGGGCGGCAAAGGAGCAAGGAGAGGAGGACACCAACGGGCAGGGGGGGGCGGAAGAAACGGGGGGGCAAGGCAAGGAGATGCAGGACAACCAGGAGGACAAAAAAAACGGAAGAGAGCAGGGGCCGGAGCGGAAGCCCGGGGGGCAAAGGAAGAGAGAGGACCGAAAGGGGACAGCAGAAAAGGAAGCGGCAGGAGAGAGAGGAGAAGGATGCAGAAAGGAAGGAAAGCGGTGAGGCGAGCAGCACGGAGAAAACGACGAAACGACAGGCCGAGACAGAAGGGCCGGGGGGCGAAAGGAGGAGCAGAGGGCAGGAGGGCAGCCGAAGGAAGCAGACAAAGAGAACGAAAGGGCCGGGGGGCGAAAGGCCAGCAGAGGACAGACAAGGAAGCACAAGGGAGAGGGCGAAAACGGGAGGGGACCCGAACAGCGCAAGAGAGAAGGGAACGGAGGAAGGAGGCGGGGGCGACGCCCCAACGAAGGAGAAGGAGAAGAGCACGAGACAGGGAGCAAAGGGGAGGGGACCAACAACGCAAGAGAGAAGGGGAACGGAGGAAGGAGGCGGGGGCGACGCCCCAACGAAGGAAAAGGAGAGGAGCACGAGGCAGGGAGCAGGGCCAGCGGGAGGGGAGGTGAACGGGAGACAAGGGGAGGAAAGGAAAGAGGCGGGGCGACGCGGGAAGGAAGCGAGAAAGGGGAAGCACGGGGCAAAAGGGGAAGGGAAAGCCGAACAAACGAAAGGAAACCAACACAGGAGAGACAAGGAGGAGGGAGACGCCCAGGAAAGGGGGGCGAGACGAAGCGCGGTGAAAGACCAACGCCTGAGACAGAGGAGCGGCGCAAGGGGACGAGGAGCAACAAGGCGGGGAAGCCAGGGCCAGAGAACGAGGAGGCCGCCCCAAGAAACGGCCCGAAGGCAGGGGGGCGCAGGGGGAAGGAAAAGCGGGGGGGAGAGCGAGAAGAGGGGAGAGGCACCGAGGGAGAAGGCCGGGAAAGGGAGGAACGAAAGTGAACGGACGAAACGGGCGGAAAGGCAGGCACGACCGCAACGAAAGGGGAGGCAGAGGGCCAACGGAAGAAGGAACGTAAGAGAAGGCCAGCCGAAAGGAGGCAGGGCGAAAGGCAGAAGAAAAGGGCAGAAGCGAAAAAAAAAGAAGAGGAGGCAGGGGACAGAGAGGCAGAAAAGCAACAGAAGAAACGCAGAGAGGCGAAAGAAAGGGCAGAAACGGAAAACAAGGGAAGAGGAGCAAGAACCGCAAAGGAGACAAGGAAGAGGCAAAACAAGGAGGACGGCGAACCAAAAGAAAGCCAAAAGGGAAGAAGAAGAGAAGAGAGAGAGACGGGGAAAGGGGAAAAACGAGAAGCCCACGGGGAAAAGGGGGAAGGGCAGAAAAGCAACGGGGGGAGAAACAGGCGAAGGCACAAAGAGCAAGCCAGAGGAGAGGGGAGGCGGAAAGAAAAAAGCGCACAAAAGCGAAGGGCAGAAGGAAACGGAAGAGGAGGCACGAAGGGGAGGAAAAGCAGAAAACAAGGGAAAGAGGAGGAAAAACACCAAAGGGGGGAGGCAAGGAGGCAGACGGAACGAAAGGGGGGGCAAGGACAGCGAAAAGCAGAAGGCAAAGACGAAATGAAAGGCCTAGAAAACAGGGGTTCCACAAAGCTGGAAGCAGGAAGTGGAGGAAAAAATCAGCGCCAATATGGCAAGAATCGAAGTAGGAGGAAGGCAAAAAGGTCGCAAATCGTCCGCGCGG